AATGTGATGAATAAGTTCTATCTATTTATCTTTTTTGATATTTGCAAGCCAAGTTATAGTTGTATAATCAACCAAGTTGAGTATTACCCAATTGTTATTTAAAGCTTTAAGAAGTTCTACTAGTCATGATCTTGCTGTAGTAAATATTTTAAGTTGGCATGCTGAAACCTTATCACAAAATCCTGGAATATTTATTGAAATCTCATCCAATGTAACTATTTTTTTTTTCTTTTGCTTAATAGATTGATGAACTAAAAAAGTTTCAGAAGTAGTATTTTCAATGTTCAACAATTGTTATAGTGTAATTCTTCCAGTTAAAAGTGCATTTATTTGTGTAGTGGATTTCATTCCTTTTGAGCGATTTGTATATTTTATAACAAAATCTTTCATATAACAGTATGCCAATTCAAATTTATACAAAAATCTCAAGGACATTCTTCGATACAATTCTGAATTATAAGAATTAATTGCAACTTTATGAAGTGATTTGTAGTACATACTCATAAGAGAAGAAAATATTAATATTTGTTGATTATTTGTGTTAGATGATAATGATGTATTTGTTAAAATATCAGATAGTAATTTAGAAACTTTTCGCAACAAATTAATTTGATCTCGTAAGTTACTATTATCAAATTCTGATAGAATTGATATAGCAGGCTCTTGTTCTTCTTGATATAGATCTATACTAAGTGCTTTATTAATCAATGAAGAATCAAATTGCATTATCTTTGAAGTTGAACTCTGTATTATTGTTTTTAAATGCTTCTTTATATTATTATAATAGTTTGATTTGCAAACTTGTACATTATCATCAAAAATGGTGCTATAACCGGTAGCCCTTTCTCTAATAGGAGAAACTCTTTATATAGTTTTGCAGCTTTTAGTTTGTTATCAGTTAGAATAATATCAGATTTAAATCCTGCAAAAATTAAAAACTATGATTAGTAATATTCAATTTTATAAAATATTTAATTATTTATTTATACATATGTTTTTTACTATTTTGTGATTCTTTAAGCTTTCCTTTTTTGTTTATCATTTCTTCTTCCATCTCATTACTTTCATCCACCTCGTCACTTTCTTCTTCTTCTTCTACTTTATCACTTTCATCTTCAACTAACTTCTCTTTATCTTCTCCCTCTATCAATTCAACCTCAACCTCATCACTTTCATCAACTAACTCTTTATCTTCTCTCTCTATCAATTCAATATTTCTATTATTTTCTTCTTTGGACTCTTTTTCTTCAGACTTCTCTTTGTCACACTCATTTTCACTTTCTTTTGCCATACTTATTTTATTTTTTCCTTCTTTCAGTTCAAGATTTTCCTCATTATCTTTAAATTTTTTGATAAAAAATATAAATTAAAATATATTAACAAAAGACAATCTTTGCTTTTGTTAAGCAAAATAAAATACAAAAATTATATACCTAATTAGAATGAATAATACATTACAATTGCATATTCATTATCCTTATTACTAGGGTTTTCGCTTACAATAAGTATTTTATCGAGATTATTTGTTATTTCAGTCTTAAAGCCATCTTTCTTATATGGCCTCACCGTTTCAAAATAAAATTGGATTTGCTTATTGTTTGTATATTGTTCTGAATTATATAGAGATATTAAATATAATAATCTTATAATTTCTTGTTCACGTGTGAATTCTATAAAAATTTAGATATTAACAAAAGACAAATTTTGATTTTGCTCAATTTGATATAGTGACTAAATGTATCTATTTTTAATAATATTTTATGAAGAAAAATGTGAAATAAAAAAGAAAACAGGCTGTATTTATATTAAAAAAAATAGTAGTATATTATGAGAAAAAATGTTATACATAATATTGTCATTACATTAATTAAGCTCTTCAATAACTAATATAATGTTTAAGCTCAAAGCTTTTTCGATAGCTAATATAATATTTAAGCTCTTTCAATATACAATATTTAAGTGCTAATATGTATAATATCTAATGATGATAAGTTAATTAGTTGTTATAACGCTAAATATAATACAATTGATAGTTAATATATAATGAAGTATTTTTATTTTAAAAAAAAAGAAATTTACTAGTAAAAACCATAGTATATGTTATTGTACTTTGAACATATTGTAATCTTTGTGCTTTCGTCATGCAAAATTTAATATTAAAACCTAATTAATCATCAATAATTTTATTATATATCCAGGATTTCTAATGAAGAATCGCTAGCCTTTCTATCATCGCCGAACCAACCTGGCTTTTCAGATTGTAATATTTGAATAATCAAGTATTTTATTGTTTCAACCAGAATATTTACATAGCGAATTGGTAAACCACCTTGAATGTTACCAAGAAATTCAATTGTATAAAGACATAAATACAGATTACGAGAATTATTCACAAGAAAGAATATCTCAGTTGCCTGTTTAATAACAATAATATATATAGTAGATAAAAGCTTAGAATAATGGTGATACTTGTGTATTTTGAATAAATATATTTACTAACCAAAGGCCTTTAACCATACAGTGCTGCATACATTTCCCCAGGTATTTTACAAAAAAACTGGTCTAGATTGAATAATACCCTCCAAATATCAAGAGATGGAAGAATAACACAAATAATTGTTATTGAGTACTATATACTTTGTTATTAAACATATCAAATCGCACTATTATTATGAAAACTAGACCACAAATCGCTTGTAAAAAAGGGGATACTATACCAGGGGTACTATATTTAGCGCTATATGATAAAATAGGTTAGTTATAGCAAAAAAAGTCCAGATTATGCACTTCAGACCTCTTTGATATAGCCTGATAAATCTTGATTTATCAGGCTATATTAAAGAGGTCTGAAGTATATAATTTTCAATTGGTAGTATTATTAAAATTAGATAAAATAAAAACAAATACATACCTCACGTCACTTCTACTAATAGCCAAATAATATTCACTATAGTTTCAAACAATCTTATTAATCTTTCTTTCATTAATACCTGTAGTTAGAGTATAAAAATTCAATAATTTTCTAAGATCTCATAATTTACCCAAATATCTTCAGATATAGTTGCTAAGAAATAACTATTAGATATCTGAATAAAATTCAAAGTTAAATATCCTATACTTAAGTATATATTATATATATAATATATATATAAAAAGTAGAAAAACCTGTTTTTTTATAATTGTCAATAGTATAATCCATAGAAGATAGACTACTAATTATAGTGCTATCTAATAAATAACTATA